CCGTTTCATACTTTGAGTGGCCAAAGACTCTCCAAGCTGGAAAATCGCAGAAAATAGTCAAAAAATAAATAAATAAAATCAAACAGCAGCTACATCACCACACATTGTTTGGAAGGGTTTCAAAAAAAGAATCAAGAAAAGAAAATGAAATGAAACTCCAGCATATTCAATTGTTAGACACAACTGGAACTAATATATATATATATATATATATATATCACACACACACAAATATAGCTCATTACATACCTTGTTTTCTTCAACTACCAAGGACATGATTTTCATGCTGTTTTCATCTTGCCTGTTTAACACAAAATAAATGAATCCATCAATGTGTGAATTAATAACGAAAAATAAGCACCCTGTCTTTGTATGTCAAAATGAGACACTTGCTGTGTAATAGTTGAGGAGTTCCCGTCTGATATCAGCAGGAAATCTTCAACGTGTTGATCCGGCCAGCAACAAAGCATGACAAATGAGTGAAAGTCCAGCAAGCTGAGCATGCCCTGGAAAGAAGAAGATGTTCACATTAGTGGTCATTTACTACACCGTTTGTTTGGATAATGTGAACGCTGTTTTCTGAACTTGAGAGCACTCCCATGAACCACACCGAGTCTGCGGCTCAGTTCTTGCCAACTCTGGTCCAGTTCCTTTCTGATGTGAATGCAGTCATACTCAAAGAAGTAAACCGCTTTTGATGATGTATGAACTGCTCAAACTGTGTATTCTCTCATTTTCCTGACAAGCGTGACTTGACGCCGCAAGCAGAGGATTTATATGTAATTTCTGCTCGATTCAGCAAAAATTTACTCCTGTTGAACCTTTGCATTACATTTGTGAGAGAGAGATGCATACGCAGCTCCGAGCTGGTGATTTGGAAACAAAACCCAAATGATCAAAATCCAGAGTACAGCACTGAGGCGAGCAAGTAACGCATCCATCTACAACCGCTGGCAACAACAATGGAATCACACACTGGTTCTGCGAAACATACCTCAAACTAATCAAATTAAAGGAAAGTTGTTTTCCATATCAAGTAGAGGAAGAACTTATGGAATCAGCTTGTAATTTGCATTTCTGAAACAAACACGGCTCAACAACAAAAAAAAAGCTAGTCAGCAGTTAAGAGAGTGCTTAACGAGCATTTGGACTTGGTTAATTGAGGAAACTTGACCCCAACAAAGATTATAAAACTACATGGCGTTCTCTAACTGACATAGAAAACAATTTTCCATTAATTAAAAGAGTTTAATCTCATTTGTTTGAGGTGTGTTTCACTTAACCAGAGTGCTGAATTATTAAACAAAAATAGTTTTGTCATATCTGTGATTCGTTTATTTGTTATGAAGTAGAACATCATCTAAGTGTGGCGACTCCATTTTTGCCAGCGGTTGTATATCTCCTTCTCCTGCATATAGTTTAAAGGGGGGGGGGGGGGGGGAAAAAAACAGGCAAGGCCCCCCCGGGCAAGCGAAAATAATAATAATAAATACAATTATAATATTCAAATTGTTTGACTTTCTAAAAATACCAATGTGAATGAAATGTGGACTGAGACCAGGTTTGAGTCCACTTTAATCTAGGTCTGCTCCGATTGGTAATTAAAAGGCTGTTGGACTCATAAAAGTGTGCAAAAAAATTGCATTTAACTTTTAGAATTTTCTTCCATGTGATCATGCTCCCAATACCCCGAGAAGAGCTGAACTTATTGTTCAAGTCTGAGAAGTTCACAAATTATTATGCACACTTTTAAGGCTAGAAAAATGGTCCATCATCGTGTGCATCAACAGCAGTTTTCTCTTACCTCATTGTTTAGAACATACATCAAATTATCCACAACTTGAATCTTCTTCACCTCTGAATAGAGAAACAGAACATTTTACACTTTAACATACACACACCATATTTAGTAATAATAAAATGTAAATAGCAAGAACACATTTCGTACCTGACACTAAAGCAGAGTCGAGGAGTTTTGTGAGAGACAATGATTTCTGCTCGGGGCCCATGGTCCAAAGTGACAGAGCACTGACACCAACAGCCTGTCATGAACATACAGGTCAAGACAGAACTACACTGCATTTTACACACGCTTTTATCCATTCACCATTTGTAAGCCGTTATAACTCTACAGAGATTGGATGAGTGGAGTTGGGCTCACGTCGATATATACATATGAGAAGAGCTCTAATGAAGTTTACTTTGAAAAAATAATTATACAGGATTTTTCATATTTTAGGTCTCCAATGAAGAAATATGAGAAAGAGAACTTAGAAGTTCTTGTAATACTCACTGAGAGAATTTTTTAGTCACGATCCTCTCTGACAAGCGTTCTGCACATGCAGCGGACGTAAACCACACTTTCAGTTAACAAATAAACGTCCTGTGCCGTGATGAAGCGTTTTTCATCGCCCACCGCTAAAGTCCGATCACAACCTAACGACTCCTTTGACCCGATTCATTTTAATGAATGGTTAAAACAACTGATCTGTCCAACACTGAACTCACGAGACATCACCGTCTGAATCGCTTTAGAACACATCATTTAATCAGAACACCTCACAAATCAGATCGTAAGTGTTTACGCGGCTCGTTAAGATTTAGCCTTAATAATCCAGTGTTTTCAAGTGGTCGACCGATATATATTTATTTTACACATTTATTTTTTAATCCATTTTCAAATGATTTAAAATTTCTTAAACATTAAATAAAATTATATTGGCTTTATATCGGCGACCCTGCTTTCCAAGAGATCGGCTGTCAAAAAAAACCAGTATCGGTCGACAAACTAGTATTTTCATGTTATTTATATGACAATGTGCAGTAAATTACCGATAAAATCATTTAATTTAGACTGGAGGTGAAACCAGACAAGCACAAGGCAAGCTGCTGATTTTATTTCATTGTTTAGGGTAGAAAATTAGACCATTAGTTAAAAACGTTTTTAATGCTACTCTGTAATATTAATATGATTATATACCAAAATAATTATCAGGTCTAGCAAAGAAGGATCTTATCGTACAAAGCTATGAAGGCCAGTGGAAAATCCCAGCTTTTTTTGCGAAGAGGGCTAGAAAGGATGACAGTGAGAGTAATTTGAGAGAGCTTGTAAAACTGATAAATAAAACGATGAGCAATTCTTTTTTTTCTAACTAATTTGGTAATGGTGATGTTTACATGTAAAGTAGTTGTAAGCACTTTGTTTTCTGTCCTGAACAGTGATTGTTTTTTATGTCATGAATAAACAGGATAAGCAAAGATCACAAACTGTGTCTTTGTATTTATTATAGATGTATTGTAAGTATTGGGCTGGAAGATCACGTGGGTCGAGTTATTTTTACTGTGTGGATGACCGCTGAACACCATTTCTGACCCAGAAAACCCTGCACTCGGTGTTCTTGTCCACTGTAACACCTGACCTTCCTTTCAGAAATTAAATGTTTTCTAACAATGCCAATAAAATCACGAGTTGGAGATTCAGCATCAAACTTACTCCAATCAGAAGGTGGACTGTGCTTCCCAAACAGACCAGACTCGCCGAGTTGCAGCCGTCTTCATGAATCTCTGTAGTTGAGCAGAAGTTCATAAGAATATCATCTTGGATCTGAAAGAGAAGCAAAATAACCAATTAGCCTTGTATCCACTGATCTATATAATATATAATCTGAAGACATTATTGCGCCTGAAATATATTACATTTCATTGGGCCCTAAACATGTAATTTTTGTTAAACTTTTAATAAACTGATGTTAAATTGTACAAGTTTCATGATTTTAATTAATTAGACAGACACATTTTTGATTGATAAAATGTCATTTAACCATTTAAAAAAAAAATTAAAAAAAAGAGTCCAGAAAAGTTTTGGGAAAAAATTGGGAAAAAATAAAATGGATTTCATAGGGCCCTATTTATGGTCTATATGTGAAAACTCTAAATCTAGCATGCATCATGTTGGAAATAAAGCTTCTTGCATTTAAGCCTGTATGCGGTCAATGTTTTCTTCTCTGAAAGAGGTTATGATGCACATATTCTGATTGACTGAGCAACATCTATATCAGACTAAGGGTGTGAGATATACTGTATTGTGTATGATAATATCGTAATAGTTGTTTAAACGATATGCGCTCTGACATTATCGAGTATATTGCTAAAACCACACCCAGAGAGAGCGTGCATTCACTACGAGATGTAGGTTATAGAGCGCGAGCACAGAGTTCACTTGCACTGCGGGACTTACTCTATTAAAATACATTCAGAAATCCCCCAGATTTCAAGATAAGGGGACGTTTATATGTCTTTTATATTTATATCATCTGATATAGTTAATATCACACAAACATTTTTCTCTAACCCGAGAGATGCGTGTCCCTCCAATGAAAGCCCATTCCCTCAAAACTTCTACACCTAAATATAAACTGCGTGGTTTAACCCAAATCTTCAGAAGAGACACCATCACGTCAAATGATAAACAGATTTAACTTGGGCTTTTATTCACATATAAACACTGCTCAAAACACAAACACTGAGCCCATCAGATATGCTCAACCGTACTCGCTTTATCATGAGAGCGTGTGTGTGCTCATGCATGGATCAAAGTTAGTTTCTGTCCATCATATCCAGCGTACTGTGCATCACAGAGGTACTGATAACGAGCAACACTTCTGACTCATTAGCCGCTGTCGGGAAATCACCTGAAAAACAGAGTGCAGCAAACGGCTAAATTATTTGCGTCACAATCCTGTGTTTCGACAATACATTAAAACAATACGATAAGAGATCTTGCTTGCCATATAAAGCAGCTAACGAGCGGTTTAGTACTCGCTAAAAATAACTGCAAGAGGATGAAACAAAGCCTGGCACATTCAAGCAGCTAATAGCCTGTTCTTACGTCAAAAAGAAAGCGGATAAAGTGATCGTGTCTCTCCAGAACACTTGGGTTGCACTGCTACAATGCTTTTAAGAACTTATTTGAAGCATCGAAGTTTCGGGGAACGGGCTTCCCATTAAATCTTACTCTGTGTTGCGAAGATTAACACAACTCTTATGGGTTTGGAACAACAAGTGAGAATCTTCATTTTTGGGTGAACTAGCCCTTTAATAAAAGAAATGTGCAAAAAACACTGAATTAAATGAAGCATCAACCTTATTTAAGGCCACTAGATCCATGTTTTCAATGGCTCTCTGGATTTTTCCCAAGGCAACATTTGATGTGTGGAGGAAACCATCATTAACAATGAAAAAGAGATCATACACTCCTGAAACACACACAAAACATGATTTAATGATAATAAAATCTATGATAATACTGTCAGTGGCCATGTCTATTATGCAGCATATATTTAGAAGTTATTTTTCTGCTCCGCTTTTACAGATGCCCACCTTCAGAAGCAGGGGTCTCGTGCAGGATTAGGCTCTTGAAGGTGGTCTCCGCGCCATCAGAGGGGTTTGGTTTGAGCAGAGTCTGGTTACACAACACTTCTGCGTTACTAGAGCCAATCCAGCTATTATTACCATTCTCTTCAGGTGAGGTGAGCACTTACTTTGGTCAGCACGGTCTTTTTCAGAGGGACATAGATGATGTGCAGACTCCCATTCCTCTCTCCCACCAGAAGAAACTGCGCTTGGGGGCACACCGCGACTGCATCCACCACAGTGTCTGAGCCAAGCGCGAGAAGACGAGTTAAAGAGATAGGTCTCCCTTATCTGTAAACACTGCTGTGAACAGTAAATGTTAACGGTGCATAACTGAGCTTGTGTTACCAAAATACAGATGAATGAGGACCGTCTGAAAGCTGGGATCAAACAGAACCACAGCAGTGTCAGCGGCGACGATGCAGCAGTGAGGAGTGCTGGAGGCGTAGAGCTTCGGGTCGGACAGCACCTGGAGCACAACAACAACACCAATGAGAAGAGAGCAACTTTACACAACAGCAATATCATTTCCATTAAACACAGCAGTTTTCTATGCGAATATCTGTTAAACTAATGTATTTCTGTGATGCGCAGTTGTATTTTCAGCATCATTACTCCAGTCTTCAGTGTCACATGATCTTCAGAAATCAGTATAATATGCTGATCTGCTGCTCCAGAAACATTTCTGATTATCATCAATGTTGAAAACATTTGTGCTGCACAATATTTCTGTGGAAACTGCGATACAAGTGTATGTGTGTCTGTGTGAGAGAGAGAGAGAGAGAGAGAGGGGTGTGTGTGTGTGAGAGAGAGAGAGAGAGAGAGAGAGAGAGAGAGAGAGGGGTGTGTGTGTGTGAGAGAGAGAGAGAGAGAGAGAGAGAGAG